TAAAAAGAAGACATTGGCCTTGTCACTGCAGACACATCAGCTAACTGGCTTGCCCCCCATCCCCAGTTCTTTCCATTACTCCTCATTGCCCAGTGGTGAATGGTCTTTCACACCCCAGCACCTCTAACTTCACAGAGGGGGAACTTGGCTCCCTGAGCACATTGCTTTCTGACAGCAGCAGTGTGTCTTTTCCCCATCCAGGCTGTCAAGTCCTGTCAGTGCCAGCCTTATAATGTCTTGCAAACCTATTTACTTTTTTCTATTGCCTACCTCCCAGTCCAAGCCATTCTTACCTATTGCCTGGACGGTTACCAATAGCTACTGCTGCTATTCCTGCTTCTTTTAGCAACTTTCTACTGCTGAAAGAAAACGTTCAAACTCCTTATCTTGGCCCATGCTAAGGTTCTTCATTATCTAACTCATCTCTACTTCCTTGTCCATCCCCAGGTTCCAGGCACATTTGGCTGTTCTCACATCCTGGAAGACACCATGCTGTTTTCTGCTTCAGAGCCTCTACATGTACTGTGGTCTAGGCCTGGGGGGCTGCTTCTCCCCCCACCCCCTCCACCCCACTTCCTTCACAGCCTGTCTTATTCAGCATTCAGGTTTTGACATAAACGTCAGTATTTCAAAGACTTCCAGGACACACACATCTCCACTGCACCAAATGTAAATTAAATTTAGCCCCGTATGCTTTTCCCTATAGCCTACTTTTTCTTCATAGCTTTTATCACAGTTAATAATTATCTGTGTAATTTTGCATCTGTTGCTCTATTGGAGTATATAGTTTATAGCTTTTTTATCCCCCTCTTCTAGTAGTGTGCCTACCACCTATGTCTGTTGCATAACTATTCACCAGATGGGCGACTGAAGACAGTCCTGGGCTTGGAGGGGCCTGGGATGGCTGAAAGGGATGTAGCCATTGTCATGGAGCTATCTAAGGTAGTCAAGGTTAAGAATTCTGTGCCAAAGTAAAGGGATGCTTAATAATTCCCTTTTATTAGCAAGATCTGAAATTGTATCTTTGGAACTCTGCTGTATTTTGTCAAGTTAGAAGCAGTGAGGTGCCTGTGAATCTTACTTCACTTTCTAGTCTGCCAGCTCCTAGTGGCTGGTTTCTGGCGACAATAGTTCCATAGGCTGTTTCAGAAACATAATTTGTCTCTTTGCATTTCAGTGGTGCTGCTGTATGTGTCTTGTCATCAGATTTCAGAGCACCAGGAATAAGGTGGGGCCTGATAAGGACGTTTTTGAGGAAAGTCTGTAGGAAAACCCTAGAATTATCCTTTCTGTTTCCCCAGCTCCAATACTGTTGGCACTAGTGGCAGGAGAAGCTGCTGGTATCATGGAAAACATAAGTGACGATGTGATTGTTGGCCGATGCCTGGCCATTCTCAAAGGGATTTTTGGTAGCAGTGCAGTACCCCAGGTAAGTAGATAGGTGAGGTAAGCAGGGATCTAGGCTTCAAACTCAACCAAGGTTTAATGTATTTGCAGCATGTTCTTGGTCAGGACAGTTTAAGCTAGAATTGAGGTGTGTGCCTTTACATGAATATTAATGTTTGGAGTTCATGGCCTAAGCATGGGGTTCAGAAAAGCCCCCCAGAACAAGAGCTGGGGAATCTGAAGGCTGTTAGCTACATTTCTCCTCTGGCTTTAGAGTCACACCATACCCGACATTTTAGACAAAATGGCCAAACTCCAGTGAGTATCTCTGGGAAGTTTTCAGAGAACCTCTTGGTACTTTTTCCTGTTCTTTGAAATACTTTAACCCCTTAGGATTCCTTTGAAGGGAAGCATATTGTGAATTTATAAAAGAGAATAAAGGCCGAACCCTGTGTAGATCTCTGGATTCATAGACAGGAAGGCAACATGGAGGCATCCTTCCTGTCTGAAGTCCTTTTGTCCACGTCTATTTTAAAGCAGAGCATTCATCACTTGATCACTGGCTATCACATCTGTTGCCCTTCTTTCTCTCACTTACATCTCCACCCACCACTGCTTTTCCACCTTTCAAGGATTGATTTGTCCTTGGTATATCATAATGACTTTTGCTCCTGGTTTTTCTTTTAGCCCAAGGAAACTGTGGTGTCTCGTTGGCGAGCTGATCCCTGGGCCCGGGGCTCTTATTCCTATGTTGCTGCAGGATCATCTGGAAATGACTATGATTTAATGGCTCAGCCCATCACTCCGGGCCCCTCGATTCCAGGTGCCCCACAGGTGAGAACTGGCAAACTATCTGGGCTTATTTGGGAAGAGGCCCTGATTTTTTTTTCAGATTTTAGTCATTCTGTCTTCGGACCTTTCAGATAACCAAGCACAGAGTTAAACGGATGGCACCATTTCTGATTTCTCATCATTTGGTTTTGTAAATCTAGGCAGCCTGCATTCAGAATGGAGGAGTCCAGAGTATAAGTCAAATAACATTTTTCCTTATTCAGGTTTTCCCCCTAAAAAACAAAACCATTTTTAATTGCACTTCATTTTGTAATGGCTCACAGGATTGCTGCAAGGTTGCAATTACTAGGGGCTTCCAGGGCATTCCTGAGAAATAACCCTGGGTCCTTATCTAGACCCTTATGCCAGACCCCACTCCAAGAGCAGTAAGAATTCCTCAGTGTCATAGCCCAGACCTGCTCTGAGCTGCAAGGCTGAAGTGTCCCTGATCACCAAATGTCCTGTGCTTCAGGGTAGTGAGGCTCCCTCCCAGAAGGTACTGAGGGAAGGACGCTCTAGAATTGGGTATCTAAACTGATGAGAACACGTTAAGCATCACTTTAGGACCGAGGCTAGGTGGAGTTTTATTGTCTCATTTCTCCTTGTCAATTCTTGGGAAATGCCTACTGATAAGGGAGACTCAGATAGAATGATGAATAGTAATTGGGGGGTCAGCCTTTACAAGGTCAACAGGAATTTAGTAATTTAAGTACAAGAGTAAAGGTGTATGTGCAGCCTGCCAATTTTCTTTTTCCCCTAAAACAGCCGATTCCACGACTCTTCTTTGCGGGAGAACATACAATCCGTAACTACCCAGCCACAGTGCATGGTGCTCTGCTGAGTGGGCTGCGAGAAGCAGGAAGAATTGCAGACCAGTTTTTGGGGGCCATGTATACGCTGCCTCGCCAGGCCACACCAGGTGTTCCTGCACAGCAGTCCCCAAGCATGTGAGACAGATAACATTCTAAGAGAAGAGGCCCATGTGCCTGTTTCTGCCGTATTAGCAAGGCTCTTCTAGCAATACTAGATCCCACTGAGAAAGTCCACCCTGGCACCTGGGCTCCTGATCGGCCTGCTGGAGCTCCTGATTTGACAAGGGAGCTTCCCTCCTTTGAATGACCTAGAGCACAGGGAGGAACTTGTCTATTAGTTTGGAATTGTGTTCTTCATAAAGACTGTGAGGCAAGTGCTGTGAAGTAACATCTTAGTCTCGTTTTTTGTTTTTTTTAATATATTTTGAGAATAAAACTTCATATAAAATTGGCCCTTCTGTTCCTTTGGGTTGGAGTTACATACAAGATGGGGGCGTTACTCCTTTGGAAATGCCAAGTTTATCCTATGACAATGTTTTCTCCATGTTTAAATAAGGAAGATGTTTATATAAAAGAGAAAAACGGTTTGATCAGGTCAGAAGATAAGGTGGGGGGCGGTCCTGTAGAAGCAGTGGATTTCCTAGTCAGTGGGACTAGACTTCCCCACTGGGGAGGGGTGTGGTGGTGTGCCAAGAACATAGGTATTAGGAAACTTTGGATGAACTTTCAAGATAAAACACAAGAGTGAAACAAAGTTTGAGCCTTTGGGAGATGAGTCTGCCTTTATTCCTGATTCCCTCCATGGGTACGTGCTAAAACTTCCCAATTCTACGAAAGCTGTTGGTGTACATGTTGGGAAGCACACTACGTAAGAGCAAGGGCTTAGGTAACAGCTGGTTTAACAAATTGCCACAAACTTAGTGGCTCTTAAAAAAAAAAAAAATCTACAGTTGTGGATGCTTAAAGTCTAAAATGGGTCTGCAGGGCTGCATTCATTATGGAGGCTCTCAGAGTGGGGAGGATCAGTTCATTTCCTTGCTCTTTTCAGCTTCTAGGGGTGGGAAGGCTTGTGGCTCCTACCTCCATCCGCAGAGCACCTAACTCACTCCAATCTCTGCCTCCATCATCACATTGCCTTCTCGTGTAGTCAAATCTTTGCCTCCCTCTTAAAAGGATATACCTGTGACTACATTTAAGGCCCACCTGGATCATCTAGGATGATCTCCCTCATCCCAGAATCCTTACCGGCAAAGTCCCTTTTGCCCATATAAGAAGATAAAAACATGTTACATGCTGGTTCCTTACCAGGGGCTCTTGACAGATAAACTGAGTTACTACAAATCCAAGTAATGCCCCTTAAATGTGGTTTTATTCTTAGTATGAGTTAAGGGACATAATGTATATTGTTGGTCTGATGGGAAGATGAAAACAGAGAAGGCTTTTTGCCCCCCTAGTCTTAAGAATTCGTGACAGTATGGAAAGAATCTGCACACCAGGATCAGGGCAAGTGGCGGAACTGATGAAAAGGTGAGGGCTGTGCACAGTGCACAGTGCATGGACCTCAGCATACACCTGCGTCTGAATCTGAGTTCTGCAATCAACATTGTTACTTCACGGGGATTAGCTAGGGTATCTAATCCAGGGTAGGTCTCTTAAGAGTTTTTGTTTTTTAAACAGATGGCATAGGCAGCTTGAGAGAGAGATGACTCTATCTGGCAACAATGGGCAAGCCTGAAAATTAAATGTTGCAAAGAAATAGCTGCTGATTATAACTCTAGTTATGTGGGTCCTACGCATGTCCTTTTCTAAGCCTCAGTTAATGTTTCCAGTCCTTGCAGTATCAGTAATTGGTTAGGTAAAATACCCAGTTTTAAGCATCATACAATGAAATATACTAGAGCTGCATCAATGCATAGAAGACAGATACACAGAGATGACATTAACACTCGCATCACAGACTTGCACAGAGTATATATGGAAACGAGGGAGCTTTATTGGTTACATATTGTACTGCAGAGCCAACAGAGAGCATTCGCGCCAGAGGATACATGCAGACAGGCAGCTCCAACGATACACATGCACCCAAGGAGCCCTGAGCCACTGCTTTGCCCTGGTTTCCAGCGACAGGTTCTGGCCTCCTTGGTCCCATGCTTGGAGCAGGAATGTAGAAGCTGCTGCACCTAGACTCCAAGGGGCAGGGGTGAGACCAGAGCCCCTGCCTGAGCAAGTAGGTGTGGACCAACAGACTGCCCCCAACAAAGGGGCCTATAATGCAATAACAGTTTGAGGGCTACCTTCTTAGCCCTCTCAATCTTTAAAATACAAAAAAATAGACTTTATTCTCTTAAAAATACATTCCATTCAGTATGTTCTGAGCTGGGAAGCAGCAGGAAAATAGGGCCCCTTTCTCCTATGATCTTGGTTGTGAGGTTTTGAGGAGAACCCTGTTCCCCACTCGGGGTATTCAAAACATAATCCCTAAAAGCAGCTCTTTCCAAAGCAGTCTTGTCAGAGAAATAACAAAACCTCCTAACAAGGTAGCCAGGGACCCAGCCTCTGGATCCCCGTTCCTTTATTGGGAAGTGGTAGCACTTGGCACTGACCCACTAAATATAAAGAACTAAAACTGCCCCAGGACGACAAGTCCAAGAACACTATAGCGCCCCCCACATCCCGAACACTCCAACGAGAGGGGTTATTTATGTGCAAGCTTGCCTGCAGCTGAGGGTGAGGTGGCATCCTTGGCCCCACTGCAGATCCCTTTAACCCACATTGTGACTCTTTCATTGCCACCCAAAAGCAAAAAAACCGCCACCGCTTATTTATCCACCTCCAGCTTTCTCTGGTTTCGTGTCAGAGTGGCAAAAAACAGCAGCAGGTGGAAGAGATCAGCTGCTGGTACTAAGCCAGCTCCACTCCCTCCAACCAAGCAGCTCTATTACCAGGTCCCCCAACTCACTAGGAACCCTCCAACAACCATACACCTGCCAGTAAAATCTAAGAGCCAAGCTATGGAAGAAACTTGTCGTAAAAGTGGGTTTGCTGACTGGGGGCAGTGAGACTATTTGGCTTGATTAAACAACTATCCAACAACAGGTCTCCCCTCTACTTGGAGGCTTCCTCCAGGACCCCTGACGATGAGGCCTGGGTCCAAACAGTTACACCTCAGTTGCTTTCCAGAAACATGCCTCCCAACTTTGGGATTTGAGAGCCAGCCTTGCCAGCCATTTGAAGCCCAAAGAAACTGAGCCTCCAGCCTTTACTTGCTATTACTACGTTATTTTCTGCAATGCTGAGGACATTTAAAAATAAAATCTATCTAGAAAGTGTGCAGATTAAAGAAACAAAATATCCTGAAATAACTGTTACAATCAAATCCTATTGCACTCAGATTTCAAGATGACAGCCCCAGCAAAAGGGCTTCACAGCTGTCCCTCTTCCACAGGACATTTTGAGTAGCAGCAGATGTTGGTGCTGCTGAAATGTGGAAAGATCCAGACTTTGGCACCAGGAGCTATATAGCACCAGAATCCAGGGCTCCAACACCCAAACACAAGAATTATTGGCGAGATCTTTTTAAGCATGGCTTGGCGCCCTTCTGTTTCCATCAGCAGAGAAGAGCCACAGACTTAGTTTCCTATACCTTCAGTTGACCACCACGGAGGTTGATTTCCTTTGAACTCTCAAGGTTGCCAACCAGTGAAGGAGAATAGCAGGGAGGCCGCAAGTGAGGGACGGCAGCCTTGAGTGAGCTAGTTTCTGGCCAGTGAGCCAGAAGAAGCAGCAGGAAGAGATCCTGGAAATAGCATCTTGAGCATTAGAGGTGGGGATGTGGAGAGGAAAGGCAGGCCACATGACAATGCCTTTAGATTGACAACTCTAGGAAACAAGTATGAGCAATAGATTCCTGTCCCTGAAAGTAAGGTAGGTGCTCCCCAAGCCTCCTCACTGCCAAATCTGATGCAGACAAGGGCAGGATGAACACTGATTCCCATGCTGAGTTAAGGCAGGGAAGACCAATTCCTCTGGAGGAAATCTTGAGTCTTCCTCTTGCCAGGAGATTCATAGGAGATGCACAGGAATAGGAGATACACAGACTTGGGTACGTTCCATAACATCTAGACTCCTAGAAAGCCAGGAGATACTGTGTGGCACTGGACAAGGCTGATGCCACAAAGAGCCTCAGAGACCATCCGATCTAATCCCTTCACTTTGCAGACTGGGAAACAGGCCCAGGGAGCTTCTCTGAGCTCATCCCCATGAGATTAAAACATGAGGAAACTAAAAAAGCCCAGAAAAACAATTGAGGGCAGGGGGGAAGAACCCACATGGATGATACCTTCCAAAAGCAAAAATCATCCCATACTATTATACTATTTACCTGAGAACAGGTAAATCATCCCATACTATTACAGATGGTGAAAACAGGAGAACCTCAGAATACCAGATTTGGTGCCCTTAGAGATCATCCATTTCAAAGAACTCATTTTACATACAGGGAAACTGAGGCTCCAAGGCGGCAATGACTCACCCAAGGTCACACAGCAAGGAAGTAAAGCCATGGGGAAACAAATACAGCTTACCAGACTGCTAGTTTAATGTTGTCTCATTCTGAGGGCAATAGTGTCTGCTTCATAAAGGTAGCCTTTGAAAGAGGATCCCTTCTTTGAATTGAAAGAATGCTAAAGAAAAAGCAGTGCCAAGAATATACAATTCTTTTAAACTTCCCCATATGACTGGTATAAGGAACCTAACCAATTTATTTACGTGGCTTTCTGAAAGGTTTGCTGCATTTTGAACTACATAAACCTGAGGCCCTCAATGGGTATGTACGTATCACCTCTCCTCCAACGAAGTCATCATGATAGTCGACTTGCAGAAATCCGGGGCCCACTTTTGTAGGAATGCATCAGCTTGGTAAAGTGCGATGCCTCCTCCATGGGGGACGGAGGAGGAGGAACAGGAGGGAGTAGTCTCATAGTCCATGCCTCTCATGGAGCTATTGCTTGTGGAGTGACTAAAGGTGAGTCACTTCGGGTCTGCTTTCCCCCGTGCTGGGCACTTCCTAGAAGGCAGAGGATGCTGGGTCAGGCCCAGCTTAGCCTAGGGATTTTCCCAAGGTGGAAACAATGGAGAGAGAGCAGGCGATGCCAGCAGCATTACTGGTGCTCGGGAAACAAGATGCATGAGGCTTGCACCTCCAGGTGCCTTTGAAAGGTGAGCAGAGAGAGCTGGGGTTGGGGAGCGATGATGTCATTCCAATGGGTATCCGCAGGGGTATCTGCATGCTCTGCTTCCAGGAGACTGGTCAGCCAGGGGCCAGGTCAAACTTCAACCTAAAGGGTAGTCTCAATCCTTCAGAGGCAGCACAGACCCCTTTCTGCTTTAAAAGGCTGCGGAAAAGAACTCCAGGGAGAAAGAAATGAAAGCCCCCTAGATGGAGCTGATGGCTGGTAAATCTTACGGGGTACTTGAGCCCACTGGGCAAATGAGGAATGAAGTGGATATAGTGAGACTGAGAAATCAGAACATTAACCACACAGACAGGGGCTGTCTTAGGATCCAGAAACAACCCACCAAGGAGCCGAGAAGAACTTTTGACTCCTGTGGTGTGGTGGGGACTTTATCTTCCCCCGTTTGGGGGTCAGAATGGTCCAACTACTTGGTTGACAGGGACAAGGAGAGAGAGAGGACTCGTGCATTGGGGAAGGTTGGGCCTGGGTGACTGTCCAGCTTGTAGTCTCTGATTCCCTCTGGCCAAATGGCAAAAATTACCTGAGCCACAGCCCAGCTCTACCACAGTTTCCCAGCCAAGGCTTGTGTCTTGCCTGGTTAACTGGCCTTGGATCCTTCATGGGGCAGGACAGTGGAGAGAGCTAAGAAGCAGGAGCAGAGGGCAGACAGCAGACACCCAGCGGGTTCAGTTCTCCTCAGCACAGGGCCTGGTTGGCCGTAATTGTTCCTCGGCCCGTACTCGCCCAGGCTCTGGCAGCCCCTGTTTCCCAGGCAGTTCAGACGGATCCAGGGAGTTGTGCAGTTGCCTGTAGACACTGAGTGTACAGTCTTCCCCTTCTTCCTCCTGTGCCAATAGATAATAAAAGTGCACTGTGGAGATCAGTAAAGTGAGGAACAAGACACCCTCACCTGCTACCACAATGGGTCCCTTCCAACCTAGCAGAGGCACATATAGCCCAGACAGGCCATAAGTTAACTGCAAAGATATGCTTTTGCCTGAGTACGGGCCAATATGTAAGTTCCTTGGAAATCGGGTAGACCGGGAACTCCAAGCTGCTAGGAACCATCAGGGTAGGCTAGGAGGAGGCTCACAACAGAACAGGAGCCTTACAGAGGACACAGCCTGGAATAGGTGCATGGGACTGGTACCCCTGAGGAGGGGCCAGCAGTCTGAGTTCTGCACATGCATGCAGGCTGCATGATTCTGGGGATGAGACCCATCCACATCCTTGGTGGGGAGCTGAAGAGAGGTCCGGACAGCTCTCTTCCTCCTTCCCACATACAAACTACCAGAAAGCTCACATGCCCATCTCTCATCCTTTATCTCTCCTCTTAAATGCCCAAAGCTTCTGGGGCCCAAATAGCTGTCTTTCTCCCTATTCCTAGAACTCTACCTTTTTTTTTGAGATGACGTCTCGCACTGTCTCCCGGGCTGGAGTGCAATGGCACAGTCTCAGTTCACTGCAACCTCTGCCTCCCGGTTCAAGCGATTCTCCTGCCTCAGCCTCCCAAGTAGCTTGGATTACAAGCACGCACCACCACACCTGGTTTCTTTTGTTTGTTTGTTCTTGAGACGTCGTTTCGCTCTTGTTGCCCAGGCTGGAGTGCAATGGCGCGATCTCGGCTCACTGCAACCTCCACCTCCCGGGTTCAAGTAATTCTCCTGCCTCAGCCACTACCAGGTTCAAGTAATTCTCCTGCCTCAGCCTCCTGAGTAGCTGGGATTACAGGCATGTGCCACCACACCTGGCTAATTTTGTATTTTTAGTAGAGATGGGGTATCACTATATTGGCCAGGCTAGCCTTGAACTCCTGACCTTGTGATCTACCCACCTCGGCCTCCCAAAGTGCTGAGATTACAGGTGTAAGCCACCATGCCTGGCCAGAATTCTATCTTTTTAATGTTCTCCTTGGTTCTCCCAAGCAAATGCAGATCAAAGAATAACATAGGCATGAGTGAGAAAGGTTAGCAGAGTAGAAAGAGCATTGGATTTAGAGACAGGAATCTTGGATTCAAGTCTTAGCTCTTCCAGTAATTAAGCTGGGTAACCTTGGGTAAGATATTTTGTGTTTCTGACCCTTAGCTTCTATCTGAAAAATGGGGATAGTATCTGCCCCCAGGCAGATATTCAAGGGACTGAATGACACAGTGGGTAGTGAAGTACTTTTGTCCAGTGTTAAGTACCCTGTAAAGAGTCACAGGCTTTTCAAGTTAATAGTCATCTGCTTTTTGTAAAAGAAGGGAGCACTGTGTCCAGGTCCAGAGTTTTTCATCATCACGGGTTTCTTACTGAAAAGACACTCCCAAGGGCTTCTCCAGATGCTGTTCTGACACTCTGACCCTCACACTCACATAAGGCAGGTGGTTCTGGATTTATCAAAGCTGTAATGAGCCATACTGAACCAGCCTTGCCCTCAGACTGATGATATGAGACAGACAGCTGTCTGGGGGGGTCAAAAGAAAGTGTCATTTGGAATTGGGTATAAGCTTATCTAAAATAGGCCCAGTGTAAGCCCCGGCTCTCCTCATCCCTGAGAGGCCAGCAGCCTGTGAAGATCTGCTAACTGAGGCAACCAAGAACTTGCTGACCTGGCTCCCCATCGCTGTGCTCTACAGAAAGGGCACCAGGCCTCCTACTGTCGCTCAGAGCTCCCCAGCAGCTATAGCTGCTTCTTGTGCTTTTCGTGCTGCTCTGAGGTCCTACAGGGAGCTCCTTTAGCTGCTCTGGCAAACCAAGCGAAGAGAAGACATATTTCCTTTTTGTGTCACCTTCATATGTGAGAGCAAAATGAAGACAACAAATTGGAAAAAGGATTTTGAAAAGTCATGCTGCTAAAAACCTTCTTTAGGAGAAAGGTCAAACCCACCTGATTTTTCAACAGTTCTTTAAGGAACCCAGTTCTACTCAGTTCTCAGGATCCTGGGTCACACAGGCCAGAGGAGAGGGGAAAAAGGAAAAGGCAAAGAAGGAAAAGGGAGAGAGAAGAGAGGGCAGAGAGGCTGGAACTCACCATGCCTGCTGAGTGGTTCCAGGCTGCGACAGTGATGGTGTCTCCTACCCGATTCCGACGGGTAAGCACCTCTGACACAGTGAGGCTACTTTGGGTCCTTCTGGAGGAGGGCTCAGGGGCATCCCCTGAACTTAGTCCTACCCTTCGAGTGCCCTGCTCAAAAAGGTAGGCCCTAGGCTGTTCAAGTTCTGAGAAGTCTGTGGAAGACCTCTGGGTGTAGGCATTGGTATTGGCAGATTCCATGTTTTTACCTATTCGAGTTGGGGGGTCTTCTAAAGATTTCAAGTCTCGCCTACTCTTCCAGGCATTCCGCACAGTAACATGTCTGGCATCTGAGGAGCCCACTTCTGAAGGGGCACTATGGCTTTTCCACCTGATTGTCTCCGCTGGAGGTGCATGGCTATTCCTCTCCACAGGATCCGATGGCTTGATTATAATGCTGCTCCGAGAGACCACTGTTTCTGGCCTGTTCTTCAGGGGCCCATCTGTCATTCTCTCCGCTTCTGCAAGCTGCAAGGTGATGTCATGTTTGTGAATGGAGAGCTCAAAAGGGGAGCTGACATGGTTGCTAAATGATGTGAGCTCTGCCGGCCCCACCTGGATATTGCTGGTGGATGTGTGCCTCTCCCTCAGGGCCTCACCCAGAGCAGCTCTGGGGCTGCTGCTGTCAGAGGGATAGATAGTAATGCTACTTGTCACTTTGTTTGGCCCTGGTTTGGAGACAGGTTTCTGTTTCTCCAACGTAGTCTCTGTTCCAGATCCTCCCATGATTTTTTTCACATCCTTATCAACAATAACAGGTTTGATGATGGCTCTAGACCGCAACGCCTCTCTGGGGCTAAAGGGCCTTTGGCTTTTTACCCCAGCACCATTGGTATCTGGGAGCTCCACGGCATTGGTGGAGGCTCTGACAGATTTCACAGATTCATTCTCTATTCCAGCATCTTTATCATTCTCAAACAGGGACGTTCTAGATACCCCTCGGGCTTTGGCCTTTTCTCTAGAGTTAGGCTGTGGTTTGGGCTCGGGCTCTGGAGTGATGGTTGTATTTACCAACTTGGCAGTAACAAGAGATGCTATGTCCAAGTCATCATCTGAGTCTGGCTTCTCTCTGCCACTGGATTTGATGACTCGACACCTCAAGGCTTCATGCTGACTGCTGTCTTCCATCACAACTCCTGCAGGTTGATCAACCCCTTCTCTATGTGAGGTTGAAAATCCCTGAAGGATGTTCTCTTGGCTTCTAGAGCTATAAGGATACTTTGATAAAACAGGAGCCTTGGAATTTGAGGAACTGGTATTGGCCTCAAGGCCATTGGCAGCCTTTTTGCCTTTAGAGAACCCTTCTGAGGAGGATCTTCGAGATGAGGCCAGAGTTCCAATGGCCTTAGAACAGCCAGAGTTTGCAGCGTGAGTTACTTGACTTCCATTGCCAGGCACATGTCCCCTCTTGCCAAAGACAGACTCAGAGGAGGTGTCAGAAGCCTTGTCAGCTCTACCCAATGTGTCACTGGGAACAGATCCGTGGGTGGTGTCACTAAACGTTCGTGTTGTCTTCTCCACTTTTCCCTTCAGTCCGCTCTCGGTGCCCGGCTTGGGAGTCCCCTTCCACGCTTTACTGTGCTCCTGAGCAGCGGGGGGGTAGCGACTCAGCACTGAGGGCTGCTCCCTAGACTTCTTCCCTTCGCTCTGGGAGGATCCGGGTGCAAATCGGTCTTCAGTTTTCTTTGTCTCCTGAGTTCCACTGTCTGTACTCGCCCCCATGTGAGCTTTTGCTGCCCTCCTGTTGGCGAAACTGGGAGAAGAAACCTGCCTGTTGCTCAGAGAACAGTTTTCATTGTTGAGAGCAAACTCCCTGTTCCGGAGTCGTTCCCGCTTATGCTGAGGAGACAGTTCCCGTGCTGTGTGCCTGGATGCAGGAGCCTCACTTCCGTGGCCTCTAAACTTAGTCCTCTCATGTCTGCCTTTGCTGGACAGGAAAGCATCTTCCCCTTCTACCTCCCCATTTTCTAACTCTTTCTGTTTCTTGATTTGTAGCTTTATCTCCTCCAGTTGGCTGGCTAATAATTTGTTTTTATTTTGCTCACTTAGGTAATTATCCTGAAGGTCATTATTTTTGGCTTTCATTTTCTTAAGCTCTTCTTCCAACGATTCAAAGTGTTTGATTTGTGTTTTAAGTTTCTCAATCTCCTGGTTAAGGTCTTTGACTTTGTTGTCTTCCTGATTGCGGTTCTTTTCATTTTCTGATTTGTTTCTTGTTTCATTCTCTACCTGCTTTAGGTAGTCCAGAGCACCCTTCCTTCTTGATTCTTTGGACGGCAGTGTAGAAGAGATGCCATCCTCAATCCGAAGGTCATTTCTTTCCAGATTAGAAGCATTCCTTGTATAATCTCGGTTCATTTTTTTGTTCTGCTCTAGTTTTTGAGTGAGTTCTTTTATCAATTTCTCATTTTCTTTCTCCTTTTCATTCAAGTATTTTCTCTCACTTACAAAGCTCAGAGTTAATGATTTCAGTTTTTCTAACTCTGACGCTAAACTCTGCTCAGTTTTATCCAAGCGGTCCTCAGAAGATTCTAGTTCTTTCACTTTGACTCTGAGCATTTCTAGCTCAGAGGAGATTTTCTTGGTCAGATTTCTCTCCTCATTCAGGCTCAAACACAGCTGGGTACAGTCATTCTTACTCCTGCTGAAGGCCTCTTCCAGCTTCTCTAATTCAGCCATTCGTTTCTGAAGCCGCTCAATCTCAGATTTCAGCTCCCGGGTGAGGTTTTCTTCCTCTTCAAGTTTCTCCTTCATCAGACGACACAGATCCTCTGCTCTCTTAATCTCCTCGTCTTTGCCTTCAATTCTCAGCACCCGCTGGCGCAGCACTTCAATCTCCGCCAACATGCTGGAGTTGCTACCTTCTGCCTGAATGACCTTGTCCTGGAGATCCAGGAGCTCATCCTCTGCTTTCTGGAGGTTTTTTGTGGCTTCCTCCAACTCATCAAGGCGGCGGCTTAGACTCTGTAGCTTAAATCGCAAGTGGCGGCTGGAGGCCGTCTCCTTGTAGCTTGTAAATTCGGCCATGTCTACTGCCAGCCAGTGTGGACTCCTAGAGACATCCAACTCCACTCAAGGGGATGAGAAATGGTTACCTTTGTCTTGGCAACCACAATCTTCTTTGACAGCTGGAGACCATCATCAATCTATGGAAGCAAAGTAGAAAGCACGTCAGTCAGCAAATGTAAAACCTGCATGTTAGCTCCCAGTTATAGAAAAGAGCTCCTATCTGTTCCTGGTGCCTGGATCATAGGAGGGGCTCAAACTCGTTGAATGAATGACAAATAAACCTGCAAGAAAACACTGGTTCTTTATGGCCGATATTGAGTTGATACCTCGTTTCGCCCTAATAAAGAATGTCACCAGTGGCAGCATGGCAAAAAGACGTATAAGAAGCCTCAATTCTCATGGCAGGGTATAGTAACATCATTACCACCTGCAACCTGCATAATCTCAGGAGAGTCATTAACAATGTAAACTGAGCCTCAGTTTTACTTAGTGGTAAAATGGGCATAATGATGTCTACCATATTTCTCCCCAGTGTTGTTCTGAGATAATATGTAGAAGATCTTGGTAACAAAGCAATAAACAAACCTAAGATTATTTAAAAAAAAAAAAAAAAAAGATTATCTCTTATGAGCTATTGTGACTTAAAAGTGATACACATTAACCCATCTGCCTTGCTATAAATGGTGAGCTTCACAATATACTAAAGCAATCTCTCCACGCCCGTTTTCAACATCTCTTCTCCCAAAAGTGTATTTGTAAGTGGAATTCAGGTGTGAGTTGGCCCAACCCAGGCAACAGGCAGCTTCTACAAAATGTATCCTTTGGCACTGTAAGACAAATGTCCCAGATGTTAAGGTTGATATGAAGACTGGTTTGTTTCTTTGAAAGCCATTTCACTAGGGATATATACCAAACATATAATAATACCCCAAGGAAAGAGAGAAAGGGGAAGGTTTAGTTTTTTTATGTAATTTTCTCATTTTTAAAACAGGAGAATGGATTAATAAAGGTATTTTAAACAGCCTTCATAAACAATAAGTCCTACGAAATTAAAAGGCAGACAACAGACTTCCACTTCCACCACTATGGCAAACCAGATAGACTGGAAAACCTCTAATACTATAAAACAGCTAAAAATACTGAATAAAATGTGACAATCACTTAAAATGTATAGTTGATCACACAGAAAGTAAGTGACATTCCAGCTAAAACCAGAAGAAAAGAAGACTAAATGAAAAAGAATAGTAAGTTTAAACTACCACTGAGCTGTCCTTATTAGTGTCTTGCTGATCTCCAGAACCAAGGAGTCTGGGTTCTAACAATCATGCAGGTATAAGAGACAAGAGTCTGGGCCCAATAGAGGTGGTAAGTTGAAAATGAGACTTCAGTCCCCAATCTAAAGCAAGGACTATTGGAGAACTACAGCTTCAGGATAACTAGTGAAAAAAGTCACCTCCCTGATACAGGGAGATAACAGGACCTGGGCTCCATTAGGAGTTAAAGGAGGATTATCCCTAGAGAATTTGTCATCTTAGACCTGCTCTCACTTGAATTCAGAGTTCAAATTTATACCACCTGAGTGGTCCAGAACCTATCTGTTCTGAGAAACTAGCATAAAATGGCCATCAGCCTAGTAATATCCCTGGGAAACCTAGCTGAGCAAACAAAAGTACTCTGAAGGGAGCTCCTCTCTACAGAGGTCACACAGGATTCCCACAGATTAAAGTCCAGCTGAACCCAAGCTTATAACTAAAAATTACAAAACACATAAAGATCCATCTTTTACTATAACTGGGCAGAGCAAGTTTATACCAAAAAGAACCAAAGTTACTAAGATTATTGGCTAGAAACCATACAGTAAGTACATTCCAATGTTTAAAGTCATAAAAGAAGGAATGAAAAAACAGGAGAAAGGAACAAGGTGCTATCAACAAAGATCAGAAGATCTGAAAATTAACCACATACAACAGCTACAAATAGAAAAGAGAAATGGCATATTAGAGGCAAAGGAAGATATTAAAAAATAGTGATCAAGAGAGAGATGAAATTACAAAAAGCAGCACAGAGTTAAAAAGATGGAAAAGGTAAAAGAGAGGTTAACAGACAGGGGAAATATAAATTAAAAAGGTCCAAAACAAGGAAGTTTGACAGGCAGCCCAAAAGGATAGAATACAGAATGGGGAACAGGCAATATCTGAAGAGCCAGCAGGCAAGAATTTTCAAGAGTTGATTAAAGATACGGAACCTCACATTCAGGAAGCAATGTCCCAACAGGAGAAAACTAAATCTGCACCTAGACACATCATAAGGATACGGAAGAACATACCACAAACAGAAAATCTTTAAAAAGCGAAAAGAAAAAAAAGACCATTGTCTCAGTCCATTTGTACTGCTGTAACAAAATACCTGAGGTAGTAATTTATAAGAACAGAAATTGGTCAGGTGCAGTGGCTCACGCCTGTAATCCCAGCACTTTAGGAGGCCAAGGCAGAAGGATCACTTGAGGTCAGGAGTTCAAGACCAGCCTGACCAACATGATGAAACCCCGTCTCTACTAAAAATACAAAAATTAGCCGGGTGTGGTGGCGCACACCTATAATCCCAGCTACTCGGGAGGCTGAGGCAGGGTAATTGCTTGAACCCACTGGATGGAGGTCGCAGTGAGCTGAGATCGTGCCACTGCACTCCAGCCTGGTCAACAGGGCAAGACTCCATCTCCAAAAAGAATAGAAATGTATTTCCTCACAGTTCTGGAGCCTGGGAATGTAAGATCAAGGCACCAGCAGGTTTGGTGTCTGCTGAGGGCTCAGTCTCTGCTTCCAAGATGACATCTAGAATGCTGTTTCCTCACAGGGAAGAAGGAATGGAATGAAAACGGTTGAACTCGCTCCCTCAGACCCTTTTTTAAAGGTGCTGATCCCTAATATTACCTCCTTAAAGGTCCTACCTCTTAAAGTTGTTGCACTGGGGGTTAAGTTTCAACACGAATTTTGGAGGAAGCAAAAACATCCCAAACACAAAAACAATCTATAATAACAACTGAACCACTTCTCAGCAGAAACTTTTAAGTAGGTGGCAAGTAGAATGGACTATAGGGGATATGGGTGGGAGCAGGAAGACCAAATAGGAGGCTACTGTAGTAATCCAACCAAAACACAGTTATGGCCTAGATCAGGATGGTGACAATACATGCGTTCCAAGAGCACATGACCAAGACAGTTGAGAGATGGTCAGAATTCTGGCTGTAGGAAGGTACGACCAAAGGATCTGCTCTTAGACTACATGTTAAGCATGAAGCAAAGAAAGGAATTAAGAAGCCGGGTGCAATGACTCATATCTATAATCCCAGCACTTTGAGAAGCTGAGGTGGAGTTCAAGACCAGCCTGGGCACAACACAGTAAGATCCCGTCTCTATAAAAAGGTAAAATAAGATAAAATTAGAAAGTGCAGTGGCATACACCTGTAGTCCCAGCTATTTGGTAGACTGAGGCAAGAAGACTGCTTGAGCCCAGGAGTTTAAGGTTTCAGTGAGCTATGACTGTGCCACTGTACTCCAGCCAGGGTGACAGAGCAAGACCCTATCTCTAAATAAATAAGCAGATAGATAGGTAGGTAGGTAGCTAGATAGATAGGAATTAAGGTAGATTCTAAGGTGGCTGGGCTGAATTTGTAGACGGACAGCATTATCATCAATTCAAATGGAGATGACCGCAGATGGAGCAGTCTGAGAAGGAAGATGAAGAGTTTCATTTGGGACATGTGTATGAGATGTGTATAAGATGTGTAAGGGCCTACTTGAAATTCCTGGTAACGATTTAAAGTGAAACCAATCAACAAAGTTCTATCTTTTTCTCCAGTCTTGTTCAGCTGGTTGAACAGACGAAAGAATAGAGAAACCAGAGTTGGACTGAACCAGGTCGAAGCACTGCATAACAAAGCAAGAGAAGGACAGGAGAGCAGAGGATGTGTGTGAGGGACTTTAAATTCACTCTGTATAGAAGGAGGTGACGAATAGTGAAAATATAATAGAAACTAATGAATTGAAGGGGACTTGAAGGCTTGTTGGAGTAAGGGTACCAGGTACCAGAGGAAATTAAGCCTGAAATATAGAAGACAGAAATCAGAGAGGGACTTCAAGGAATTGAAATCATGGAGGGACTGTAGTTATTGATAATGTCAAAAACGAAGTATAATTATAGGAATCCTGTGGGGGAGTAGGGAGAAGTAGAAAACAAGATCATTGGAAGAGAGAAATAATTGAGAGGTAAAGGTGCTACAAGGGTCACCAGCATGTAAGCACCACAAATTAACAGGAATAATGCTGGAAAGAGTGACGTTAAGACAGAATCTGAAGTTGTTGAGAAGGTAGGGGCAATGACTCAGGGCATCAATAGATGACAGCAACAATAGGGTATTAGGTGATGTTGTCCAGTAAGATTGCATTTAAAACTCACGGATAAGAGTGAAGAAACACAGTCTGAGACATAAGAGAAAAACAGCCACCACTGTAGAGGGAAGAAATGACTCCAACAATGATCCTATGAGAAAGCTCAGGGCAAAAGAAAAACAACTGAAATTGGGCCTGGCGGAGACGCCAAATGCCAATTCTCTCCAAGCCTGATTCTTCTAATGGCTGCACTATAAGCCTAGAGCCACCAGATGGGGCTCAGGCTCAGCTCCTCAAAAACACCAATGCTTGAAGCTGTTGAAAAGACCAAGCCTCCCCCTTCCATTCAGGTCTTGCCCACCCCATTACAGCTCCCTGTCCATCACTCGGTTTTTCTGGGTACATCTTTCTCTGTCCTCTCATCTTTGCCTCTTTTGGTCCCCCTTCTCCTTTCCCCAGCCTACCTGCTTCCTCATTCTCAAAAACATAGAGGGAAAAAACCTTCTATGTTTATGTTTTTAGAAGGAAACCTTTTCCCTTTTAAAAACTTGCCTTTGGCCTTCTGCCCAGTGGTACAATTAAAACCTTGTCAATTTATACACAGTGTTGGTTTGGGGGGACTTAACTAAGTTTAGACCACATACCAATTTTAAATGAGTGTATGATACAAAGGATCTGTGTTCCCATCATAGTCACTGGAAGACAAATGATATATGATGCATCTATAAAGTGCTTTAAAACAGCATATC